AGAGAGGAAACAGTTTTATTTATTTATTTATTTAAAAGATTTTATTTATTTATTTGAGAGAGAGTGCTAGTGAAAGCACAAGTGGAGTGGAGTGGAGTGGAGTGGAGGGGCAGAGGGAGAGGGAGAGAAGACTCCCGGCTGAGCAGGGAGCCTGATGCAGGGCTTGGTCCCAGGACAATGAAATCATGACCTGAGCCAAAGGCAGATTCTGAACTGACTGAGTCACCCAGGCACCCAACAGTTTTATTTTTGAACAAGTATTAAACCAGAGGGTGAGGTGCATCACAGGTGACTTGCTGAGAGCCTGCAAAACAGAAGGAATCTCACCCTTTTATAGTCAGGCAGTGACAACACATTACATGTATGCTTTTGAGATAAACAAGAACTAGTCTTCAAGTAAGAGGATTTGACAGTACCATTTGTCACACACAAATGACAGTACATTTGTAATGGGGGTGGCGATCTGTGTTAGTTAATTGGCTTTATCCAAAGGGGAAAAAAACTTTTCACAGTTTATGGCAAGAGGTAGTTTTGCCACTTAGAGCAAGGTGCCTGGGGAAGTTAGGGTCCCCCTCTGCCACAGAGCCTGGGAGATAAGGGCGCTACCTTCCTTGATGATTACATTTCCAAGAGATGGTTCCCAAGTCATTGAGAAAGACATTTCTGGGTCATAACTCTGGCAAGAAGCTTACTTAGCCTTTAACAGGTTTAAACACCTAGGAGCAACAAGGAGCTTACAATGGTAAGTTTTCTAAAGCAAATTCTCTGAGAAAGGAGGGGGGAGTCACTTCTCTTTTTTAAAATTTGCATTTGTCCTTACACCTCTCACTCCCTTTCTCTCCTCCTTTCTCTTTCTTGTCCCTCAATTCTTCACCTCCCCTCTTAAGTCTCTGTCCTACTTCTACAGCTATTCACCTTCCATTTATGCCCTTTCTCTCTATCCCTTCCATTCTCTGGCTCCCTGGTGTCTTAGAGAAGTAAGGATCAAATCTTACTGACAACTTTCTGAGGGCAGCTGAGAAAAAAAAAAGGATTTTCACTGCAGGAGGAAAGGGTGGGGCCATGTCAGAGGGCTGGGCTCTGTCTTTTAGAAGAAACAGGAGATGGGTATTTGGAGATGCCATGTTTCATTTGTTTGCTCCTTTGTTTTTTCTCAGGGTCTCAGCCATGGAGCTCTGGAATCACACCTCCCTATCAGACTTCATCCTTTTTGGGCCTGTTCAGCTAGTCAACATATGATTTATTTCCTTTTTCCCCTGTCCTTCTGGCCTCTGCTGTGGCCCTACTTGGCAACATCCTCTTCCTCCTGCTCATCCAGGCCAACAGGCAACTGCACACCCCAATGTAGTTTTTCCTCAGCCAGCTCTCCATTATGGATCTGATCATGATGGGCACAGTGGTGTCCAAGATGGCAGCCAATCTTCTGTCAGGCCGTAAATTCATCTCTTGGGGTGCCTGTGCCACTCAGATCTTCCTAGTGGTCATGGTCGGAGGAGCAGAGTGCTTCCTCTTGGCAGTCATGCCCTATGACCGGCATGTGGCAGTCTGCCACCCTCTGCAGTACCCTGTGCTCATGAACCGGAAGGCTTGCACTCTCCTGGCCCTGGCATCCTGGATGGGAGGGATGTCTGATAGTGTGATTGATGTGCTTGTGGTCTTCAGTTTCCCCTACTGTGGCTCTCTGGAGGTGGATCACTTCTTCTGTGAGGTCCCTGCCCTGCTGCGTCTCTCCTGTGCTGACACCTCACTCTTTGAGGATCTCATCTATGCTTGCTGTGTGGTCATGCTGCTGCTGCCCCTTGTGGTCATTGTGGCTTCCTATACCCGGATCCTCACAGCTGTCATTAGGATGCCCTCCACAGAAGGGAAACAGAAGGCTCTGACAACTTGCTCCGCCCACCTGGCTCTTTTGGGCCTATACTATGGAGGAGCCATGTTTATCTACATGCAGTGGGCCTCCAGTAGGACACCAGTGGGAGACCAAGCAACCTCCATTTTCTACACCATCCTCACTCCAATGTTCAACCCACTCATTTACAGCCTGAGGAACAGGGAGGTAACAAGGGCCCTGAAGAAGGTGCTGGAGAGATGGGGAGTGTAGGTAGGCATGCTTGCTCTTCTCAGGCTTCCTGTCTTGGTCTGCCCCTCCTCTGCAAGCTCAGATTCTCTTGTGGCTCCTCTTCTTCTGTACTCATTGGGCCTCTCTGGCTGGTTGGGGCAAGCCTGTGAGCTGAGTAATCAGAAAACCATTCAGATGGAAGATAGCAGGGTAAGAGATGGTACATGACCAGCTACATAATGAATCTTTCCCCACATTGAGCACCACAATTTCCATGGACTGAAGGCCCACAGATGCATTAGTTACATTCTCCCTAGGGTTGGTAGGGAAAGTCTTTATTCTAAGTTGCATGTTGAAAGTGAGAGAGGAGGGGAACCAATTCAGAACTCATTTGTGCACTGAAATGTGGTACATGATGCTAGAATCTAGCATAGAGGAGCTGTGCTACCTTGGGCAAGGTTATTTCTCTCTCTACACTTCCATTTATTATCTGTACCATCATAGCTACCAGTAAAGTAAGTCCAACATTTCTGGCACTAATTACTTATTAATTACTTACTGAAATACAAACTCCATTTCCATGTATCTTATGTTATTAAGCAACATAAAGACTTCTGTGCCTTCTTGCAATTGTGCTTTACATACAAGTATTAAAGTGTAAAATCTCAAAGAAAAATGGCTGGAACATTTTGTAGTCTACCACTTATGCTGACAGGAGCACACTGTAGAAAGTACAGAGGATACAAACATGTCACTCCATGCAAAGAAGGAACTTTGGGATCAGAGTGATTCTTGATCATTGAGACTAAAGGTGGAATAGGAGTGAGGTGTGAGAACACTCTGGCAGGAACTGGTTTCTATAGTTTCCATCATAGGGGCTCTGGAGGGATTTAGGAAATAATCTCTTGATCCATGTCTTCTGCAAAGATATTCTTGAATGGGGCCAAACATCTTCCCTCCATCACTCATTCACACTGCTCTCAAGAGACCTGCGTTCACTTCCTGAGAGTCCGTGGGGGTGCACAAAGAATGGTGAGGGAGAGGACATGGTAAGTCTTGGGAGGGTCCGGCCACAGATACAAAGTGTTCCAGGCAGATGGGACAGTATTCTTGAGCAGAGAGCCAGGGATAAAGCTAAAGAGCACTGACGGAGGGAATGGGGTCCACATTGCCTAGGCCCTGGTAGGTCAGTGTAAGATGGTAGGACTTTGAGCAGAGGGGAAATATGATCTGCCTTAGGGTTTCATAGAGTCACTGTGCCTTTTGTGTAAGGTCCATAGTGATGCTCATATAATAAGTCAGGTGAGAAATGATGGTGCTTGGATGAGGGTAGAAATAAAGGAGGTGGCAGAAGTTGACAGGTTTTGGATATAATTTGAAGGTCAAGCCAACAGAATTTTCTGCCTTACTGGAGCTGAAGATTTTGTTAGTTCACAAGGTTTTATGAGGGATAAAATGAGAAATTACATTTAACTTGTTTGGCACTCTGAGCTCTTTGTTAGCTCCTTTTATTAAAATGCATGTGTGGGCACCTGGGTCGTTCAGTCCGTTAAGCATCTGACTTCTGCTCAGGTCAATATCCCAGGATCGTGGGATGGAGTGCCCCTTGGGCTCCCTGTTCAGTAGGGAGTCTGCTTCTCCCTCTGCCTAGCCCCTGCTCCTGCTCTCCTTCTCTTTCTCTCACAAAAATATGTAAATAAAATCTTTAAAAAAATAAAATGCCCATAGGCTTCAGTAATTAATCTTTTCTTAAAAATGATATACAACTGTATGCCATTTTAAGGAAGCAAATTTTCAAGTAGTTGTCTAGTTTCAGTGCATTATAGAGTGGATGTCTTACAAACCATCATAAGTGTTGCCCAATATTCATTCCTGCACCTTCCCTGGGTCCTGTCTAGATTGGGGACTGCTCAGCCCAGCTCCATGTGGAGCACTGCCCACCCCTCTGGGTCCACCCAGAGTTTCAACATCATTCCCATTTTCAAGGAGGTGGAACCCCACAGCCCCACAGTCCCCTCCTCAGGACCCAAAGCTGTGTAGCCTTGGCTTCTCAATCCTCCCTATTATTCACAGTTGTAAGTCTTCTGGGGCATAGGAACGCCCCCCCCAGGTTAATTCCCACATCCTTAGGGATTTCAGGGGAGGAGGTAGGCAGGTGGGCACCACCAGGTACCTCAATCCCAAGACCAGACCTCCAGCGTGTCTGCCAGACAGATGGTAAATGAGGGTGACGTCTGTGCTTGGGGGCTGCCTATCTCCTGGAAGCTCAGGAACAACTTCTCCAATGCCACAGCCATGCATGGGTAGGAATTCTTCTAGCAGGAGGTCCTCGCCTGCCTGACTGTGAAGGTCAACCCGGGACAGGGTGGGGACCCAGGGCAGGGACATGGCACCTCCTCCATGGGTCCAGAGCTCAGCCCTGTGCATAGGGTCTGCGGGCTTCAAGCTCTGCTGTCTTCCACTGGAACCGAGGCTACAGCTTTGTCAAAGTGTGGTAGCCCTAGAAGCAGAGAGGTTTGTGTGTTTATCTGTGGGAGATTAGGGGTGATTAGTGCATCAAGTAGCTTCCAGGTGCCAAGTACCATGGGAAATTCCCCAATATCCCTGGTCTACCTGCTGTGGCATCTGTCTCAGCTCTGGAGAAGTGATGACCAAGGCACAGGAGCGGCATGAGTTACAGTTTTCTCTTATCCCATTTCCTTTTCTCCTGGTGCTCCAAGCAGACTTCTGGACCCCATTCTCCTATTATACTTGGTGGTTTTGCAGTTTGAATGTGACATACCTGGGTGTTTTTTGTTTGGTTGGTTTTGGTTTCTTGCACTTATTCCATGTAGTACTCTCTGATCCTCCCTGATGGCTGCTTTTTTGGTATCTGACACTAATTTAGGGAAATTCTCCTGTCATTACTGCCTCAGTTGTTTCTTCTGTCTCTCTTCTCCTGCTGGTATTCACCTTACACACTTGTTACACCTTTGCAGTTGTCTCACAATCCTTGGATATTCTGTTCCTTCTTTCCCTATTTTTTTCTCTTTTCTTTTCAGTTTTCAAAGTTTCTGTTGTCGTATACTCAAGTTCAGAGATTCTTTCTCCATCTGTGTCCAGAGGGGACTGGGATCTTAAAGCTCCAGGGCTGGACATCTGGGTGTGGCCATTTTTATATTCATCCTCTAGAGAATGGAAAGCCTTCAGGGAACAAAAGCCACATAGAGCAACCCGAAGCAGCTTACACTGAGCCCAGCCCCCTGGCAAAGGTCGGTGCAACTCCAACCAGGCAAAGACACCTGAGAATCAGTGCAGCAGGCCCCTCCCCCAGAAGGTCAGCTGGAAGAACAGGTGAACACCAAGTTTATGGAGCATGCAGGACTGCAAAACTCCAGCTCTAGGGGAAAATATTATATAGAATTTAAGGTTTTTTCTCATGATTTGTTTATCTTTCAGTTTAAAATTTTCCTTTTCTTGTTTTTAATTTTTCCTTTTCAACTAGTTTCTTATTGTGTCAACTCTTTGTTTTTAAGTTTTCTTTTAACTTTCATTTTTTACATTTATATTTTATAGATATATTCTCCATTTTTGGCCTCCTTTCACTGTATTCAATTTTATTTTTTGTATATATGTAAGTTTTGCTTTCTTTATAATCTGGAGATTTAGTGTCTTCTGACAAAAAGACCAAAATACACCCAGGGCTAAGTGTATCACCCTGTTTTGACCACCTTGGAGATTATATTCTCCCCCCACCCCTTTTTGTCTTTTTCTTTTCTTTTTAGTTTCTGCCCTCTTAGGATTTGTCTAGTGTGTATTTTGCTTGAGTCATGGTTGATATTTTTTTATTTTGTTCTCTTGCTTGCCCATTCTTCTCTGGACAAACTGACTAGAAGGAGGAATTCACAACAAAAGAAAGAATCAGAAGTAATACTCTCTGCCACAGATCTAATCCATATGGATATAAATAAAATGTCAGAGCTGGAATTCAGGATAATGATTATAAAGTTACTAGCTGGGCTTGAAAAAAACATAAAAGACACCAGAGAATTTCTTAGTGCCAAAATTAAAAATGCTTTAACTGAGATATAGTCTAAATTGGATGCTCTAAGAGCTAGGGTAAATGAGGCAGAAGAGAGAGTCAGAAACATGGAAGACAAGTTGATGGAAAGGAAGGAAGCTGAGGAAAAGTGAGAAAAACAACTAATGGACCATGAGGGGATGCTTCGAGAAATCAGTGATACCATAAAGCGAAACAATATTAGAATTCTTGGGGTCATAAAGAAGAAGAAAGAGAGAGGGGGACAGAAGGTATATTTGAGCAAATCAAAGCTGAGAATTTCCCTAATCTGGGGAAGGAAACAGGCATACAAGTCCAAGAGGTAGAGAGGACCCCTCTCAAAATCAATAAAAATAGATCAATACTCTGGTATATTATAATGAAGCTTGCAAATTTCAGAGATAAAGAGAAAATCCTGAAAGCAGCTCGAGAGAAGAGTTTCTTAACCAACAATTGTAGGTTACCATTCAGTTATCCTTCCCTTTCCCTATGATCCTCTGCACTGTTTCTTATATTCCACATATGAGTGACACCATGTGATAATTGTCTTTCTCTGATTGACTTACTTTGCTCAGCATAATACCCTCCAGTTCCATCCACATCAATATAAATGGCAAGTATTCATCCTTTCTGATGGCTGAGTAGTATTCCATTGTGTATATAAAACATCTTCTTTATCCCCTCATCTGTTGATGGATATCTAGGCCTTTTCCATAGTTTGCTGTTGTGGACATTGCTGCTATAAACATTGGGGTGCACGTGCCCCTTCAAATCACTGCATTTGTATCTTTGTGGTAAATATAGTACTGCAATTGCTGGGTCAGAGGTTAGCTCTGTTTTTAACTTCTTGAGGAACCTCTATACTGTTTTCCAGAGTCACTGTACCAGCTTGCATTCCCACTAACAGTGTAAGAGGATTCCCCTTTCTCCGCATCCTCACCAGAATTTGTTGTTTCCTGACATGTCAATTTTAGCCAGTCTGACCTGTGTGAGGTTGTATCTC